GAAAAGGGCAGGAGTAGAAACACACTGCAATGCTACACTTGCTGTTTGTTTTCAACACTGACAGCCACCCATCTGAGTTAATGTGAGTCGTGGAGTAATATCCCTCGCGGTTTTAAGAAAACATTTTACCACAAGGTTCATTTTAGGACAAAATGGGAAGTTGAAGAGACTGCGGTTAGCTCTACACAATCTCTCGTGACTGCAGCTAAGAAAGATGCTTCTTGTTTCTGTTTGTCACTTTACCAAATCGACTGCTATCACCCGGGCGCCCCCTGCCTTACCTGATCCTGATAGACTGCTCCCCCGAAGGCCCAGATACAGGCAAAGACGAAATAAATCTCATAGAGTTCTCGAGGGGAGTCAGGAGGAACATTCTGTGGAGTCAGCAGGCAGCCCAAGAGTGAGCAGAGAGTCTGCAATGAAACACAGCCTTGCTATCAGGACACAAGCAGCTGCAGCTCTGAGGACTATGGGCCAACTGGGATATGTCAGTCATCAAACTTCAAAACAAACCAGCACACGACAAAACGTACCACTCTCCACATGCCCAGTGAACGCCGTCAGTATCGACAGTGAAACACAAACCAGAGGTCGCATATGGAAACTAGGTGGAAGTGCATTTAAATGTGAAAAAAGAGGCAATTCTTTGCTCTAGGGGTTGTAAGAATGTGGCACAAGCTGCCGAGCCATATTGTTGAAGCCAAAACCCTGGTTTACTTCAAGAAACAGCTGGGTGAGATCCTTGGATTAATTACTTATTAACTACCAAACGGGCTGTGCTTGCCAAATTACCTCCTCTCATGCTTTATGCTCTATGAAACCAGGACCGAAGAACTAATTTTAATCTCCAGCAAAACACCCCTGCAACAACACAAATGACTGAATTAGGGATTTTCATTTTTTTCCTGTAACACAACCCACTACGTGCTTGACATTCTGTTCACAGCCCCTCCCTGTGGTTTCTGCAGCAATCGCCTAGGAAGATGTCCCAGTTCCTAGGCGTGAGGACTGAGCTGGGACTTCACCCCGCGTGGAACTGGGCATCGGTGACCCGCCCAGCAACTCCGTGCCTGCTAACCCACAAGCCCCTCATACTCACACTCCTCCTCGAGAACCCTTTTCAACAGCTTTTCATCGACAATACAAGAGTACTGTCAATACACCTGGGCAATACAATAACGGCAAGCCTAGATCTTGTACCGACAAGATCTCCACCTACACCCGTGTGTTAAAAGAAACGCAGCGAGCGCGGACAGAGAACGGCAAGGAAAGATGCTGCTCTCTCCACGGAGAAACTTCCAGCTACGCCAGTGCGGAGACACGGCCAGCTCAATGGGGAGAGGAGGGCCCACCTGCACCATGCTGCTCTCAGGAATGGGGGTGATGGTTTTAATCGTGCTCCTCAGCTGCTCCAGACACGGGGGGACGTATTTCTCAAACAGGATGGTCAGATTGGCCTTCTCCGACTGCTGGCTCCTCGTGTCAATCCAGCTAGCTACGTACCTGGCCAGCAGAGACAGCCCACTCAACACAGCAAACACAAAAGAGCAACGCAAACACACACTCCGCACAGCTCCTGTGAGGCCAGCAGCTTTTTCTCCCAGTGTCCCTGATTGTCAGCTACTTCACAATGTGCAGTAGCTGCTTATTCAAATGTGTCCGTAACGTATTTGCTGCTTTAGAAAGAAAATTCCATAGCTGAGATTCTAATTAACCACACAATGCATTCCTGCTACTGAAACAATTTCAAATTGCATCAAAGTTTCCTTTTACAAAACAGTCACCTCTTTAATTGAGCTTAAAATGTTTACATCTCTACACTGACTTGAAATGTAAAATTAAACTTCAGCATAAAAAAACATCAAAACATTTTCAAATGACACAAGTTTAATCGACAAGAGACACCTAAGCCAATTCTTTAAAGTACTTTTTAAATCAGGCTTAATTAAAACAAACCACTTTGTGCAATCAGAACCGGACTTTAAAAATGACTATTTTAGAGACAAATACAAATGGTGCCGGGATGATTAATCACATGAACAATCCCTCTAGTGAATGAAGTTTCAGCTGCTGGTGAGCTGCTAATATGTTTATGTTCTGCGATCTTTGTGAGCAAAGCCCCCAGCCATTTATATTCTATTAGTGTCATTGTTGCTGTGGGTTCAATTCTTCAAAGCAACTGCAACATTTATCATATCTAATATGTGCTGTGAGTGACTTTTCTGTTTCAGGAGTGTAATTCACTTTTGCCC